GACCAAAGGTCCTGGTTCCAATCCTTTAATGTGAAGACTGCTGACAAATCCCCCTCCTAGAACGAAACTGCCCATTCAGTGCTCCAAAGTTTTCAACAGTGGTCTATCTAAGATCAATTCGTAATTTTATACAATGAGAATAATGCAATTTTTACACATCTCCTTTACTAATCTCTATAAATCATTCAACCGAAAAATATATATGTTTCATTTTCCTATCTGGTCTACCTGAAATTATTTTAACAACTGTTTTATAAATTACAATGCCCAGAATATTTCATGAATAAACTATCCACCACAAAGCTTAAATACTAACAATCTCCGCTACATTTAATTTTATGTCAGCTCAAGTTCCCATGACACACGGAAAGAAATTAACACGATAATCTCTGATTATAATACAAAATATTGAATTTACAATAATATAACTCCAACAACAACATTCAAACAGAGTAATGAAATACATAAATCATGAATGAATCATTGTTAGACCACAATTACAAATGTGGAAGCACTGAAATACGGCCGTTTTTATCCCTCTATGGGACACATCAGCGGTAGTGCACATCCACGACTCCTGCTACTCTAAATTAAAACTAATAAAATACAGTAAGTAACATGAAAAGATCAAAACTTTACGAACTATAAGAGAAGTTAAAAATGATTTTTATATCATTGTGACTATAGGATTTAATTCGTCCTACAGATATACTACTAGAACCGTAAAAATGTGATACTGGCGAGCACAAAGTCTATGTGAAAGCTTTAGCCAGAAGAACAAGGACAACTTGGCCTTAAACTTTATCTGTTTCTATAAGTAATAAAAATAATTAGATGAGTACAATAATAATGTAGGAAATTACAGCTATTTAAGTGAAACGAACAAACATACCGACCAATATGGCGTACTTTATCGAAATGAATGAAATTATGAGTCACATTCATATAATAGAAAGATAATAATGTCTTTCAATTGGTAGGTCACATGCAACAGAGAGATAGTTTACAGACACATCAGCCTAGATCAACGTGTGTGAGCGCTTAAACCACGATTTGATTGGTTAGTTATGGTCATAACTAACAGCGACTAATTCTAAGTTATGTCAACTAACTTCTCCGCTATTACATAAATACCATGCATTATGGTCCACAACTTCCATCATGGTTTAGACCGAAAATCAATAACTTCATAGATTACTGAGATCAGGAATGAATCATTTTAAGACCACTATTAGGAACCTGAAAGCACTGGACGGCCATAAAGTCCTAATATGGAAGCCATCAGCAGCGCGCATCCACGACTCCTGCTACTCACGGTATTCTAACCCGAGACCTTCGGTCTTGCAGATGAACAGCTAACCTCTGATCGACTGGGCCAGCACCCAACAGTATTAATTTCTAACTCTGATCAATCTAGAGATTTCGCACGACCTCACCCATGTGCCGACAGCGTCCTAATCCTGCCAGAGTCAACAGTTGTGGATGCGTACTGCTGATGAGTTCCATACCTGGACGAAACGGTCGTCCAGCACTTCCGGGTCTTCAAATGGTGGTCTAACAATTACTCATTTTATGATTTCAAGGCAAAACACTCTTTTATTAAGATTAAAGCATACTCTTCACACTCATTCCTTCTAGTTGTAAGCTTTGTATTGAATTACTGAAGTTTTATTTCATGAATAAATTTTAATAGAGAAATGAGAAGACATATTTTGTGAGATAGTACCATTTCGTGCTTTCTCGACAGTCACATACAAGCAACATGTTATTTGTGTGTAAATACAGTTTTGAAGACAAGGTCAAAATTTCTTATTTAGCATGACATTCACTCACTAGAACCATGGTAAACAAAGGTCAACATACAGTTGTTTTTGAACACATAAAGTTGGACTTTTCCCACCAATCAAGATAGCTTCGAGTAGTTTCAGTGTGTGTGGGTTTTGATGACATGTCACAACTCTAAAGGCTGATTTTGGGTCAATTTGATGACCACTCATCATTAGATGTTTTGCAATGGACGAGGCTGGGTTTCTTGATCGATTTTGAGATGATGGGCTAGGTTGATGAATCATGGATTTGATTAACCATTTTGGAATATGTTCCCCTATCCTGTCTTCCAATCGGCGACCTGTCCTCCGTAAGTAACTTTCCCCGCAGTTACATGTGAATTGGTATATACAGTGGGGTTTGGGTGTACTTTTCGTCTGATTGATCCGTCTGGACGGCGATGGAGCAGGATATCGAGGAAGGCTAGTTCATTATTCTTTTCTTCCTCATAAGTGACTTTCAGATTCGGGTGAATCGCATTAAATAAATCCTTAACTTCATTAACATCTGCAGAATGTGGTAATATGACAAGAATATCGTCGACATATCGTTTGTAAAGTGTAATACAATCGATGAAGTGACTCACTTGCCTTTCTATCATTCCCATGAATATGTTTGCTAGAACAGGTCCAAGAGGGCTTCCCATAGCCACTCCATCGATTTGTGTATATGCTTTACCTTGGAAATAGAATTTTATATTCTTTGTGCATAGCAAAATTAGATCTCGAAGATAGGTAGTCGGAATGGGTATTCTTATGTTGTGTGAAGTTATGAAGTCACAAATAAATTCCACAGATTCTTCAAAAGGTACATTTGTGAACAGTGAGTTTACATCGAAAGAACACATCCGACTATTAGAAATATTCAAGTGAAAGCACGAAATGGTACTATCTCACAAAATATGTCTTCTCATTTCTCTAATCAAATTTATCAAAGGTAACCACTGTTTTGAATAAATTTTAGTCAATTCATGATTAAGATATAATTTTGTTTAATAATTATATTATTATTATTATTACTATTATTATTAATCTTTATTAAAATGATAAATACTGAAAATTTGTTTTACATAATAAATCTATTCTTCTTATCTTTTCACAAAATTTTATTTATCTCTTAATCCTCATTATGATTAATTGTAAATAAGAGATTAGATTAAGTAATTAGTAAGATATTCTACTCAATCAGTTTTGTATTGACTTTTTCAAGTCAACCAATAATGTCTAGCGTCAAATGAAGGATAAGTTGTCTGAGTAGGCCTCCTCCTCCAGTGTGTATTTACAAATTCAGCTACCTGTGTGGAGATAAGTTATATTACGCTAACTACTAGGCAACTTAACCAACGAATAAGTGGACAACTGAGTTCGAACCCCGTCTTCTATGTATAGTCGAAGCCATAGGAATCCGAACATTCAGCCCTAATTTATGTGTTCATAAGTAATTCTTGACATCCTTGTCCCGTTCCTTGACCTGGATATAATACCTTGTATTTGTTTGTAATCTTTTTCACCCATTTCTGTTTATATTCTTCCCCATCTAATCATTTTATACTCTTCTTACTGCGTAATCTTAATAGAGGTTTGTGATTAGTATTATTTTTTAATTATATTAATGGAGATCATTGTTTTTACACATTTGAAATCATCAATAATCTATCATTGTTAGACCACCATTAGAAAACTGGAAGCACTGGATGGCCATTTCGTCCTGATGTGGAACTCATCAGCGGTGCTCGCCCATGACGTCTGCTACTCGCATCATTCGAATTCTTCGTTCTTGCGTGTGAACACTTAACCTCAGGATCGATGAGCAAGCATCCAAAGGTTTTAATGTCTAACTCTAATCAATCTAGGGATTTTGTACGACCTCGCTCATTTGTCTTTAGTAGTTACTGCCTACAACCGGCAGGGTTGAACTTCACTGGTCACGTCCAGTTTAAGTTTGTTTTATCCAAGTTTGAACTACTACTCTTTGCACCGTTGAACTATTGACAGAAACTTTGATCGTTGTGTTTTGTATAATTCTTACAACTAATAGTACTCTAGTCTTCCTACTATTAACTTGTATATGTGAGCTTACGTAATCTGTTTCATTGTGACTATTGATTCAAAATAAATTGCCTTGATTGGTTTAAGATTTTCATCATAAATATTCATGTATATTATAGTAAAGCAGCCTGATGACGATCTAATGAAAAACGGTAATATTCTGTTCGCTTATTATCTGTGCTGTTCTCATGTAATCATTTTACTTTCTTCTTATTGTGTAATCCTAACAGGACTTTACGTTTTGATTATTTGAAGTCTATCTATCTATCTATTTATCCATGTGTGACCTATTACTTTCAATGTTGAAAACATTACTCCAATCCGCCGACTATCAAATTGTACTTTTACCTATTATGCGTAGTTACGTAATGCAAGACAACCAGTGTAGCAGCAGCCTCAGTAGCAGTAGGTCTCAACATACATAAAGAGAAATGTAAGATTCTACGATACAACACAACAAGCGCCAACCACATCACTCTTGATGGAGATGCCTTGGGGAACGTTAACACCTTTACATATCTGGGCAGCATCATTGACGAGAAAGGTGGATCCAATACAGATGTGAGGGCGCGGATTGGCAAAGTAAGGGCTACATTTCCACAGTTGAAAAATATCTGGAACTCCAAACAACTTTCAACCAAAACCAAAGTCAGGATTTTCAATACAAATGTCAAGACAGTTCTACTGTATGGAGCGGAAACTTCGAGAACTACTAAAGCCATCATCCAGAAGATACAAGTGTTTATTAACAGTTGTCTACGCAAAATACATACATTACTCCGAGAAATAGAGAAAGATATGAGAAGAATGAACAAAAATTGGACAGAATTGGAAAGGGAAGCGGAGGACAGAGTTGGTTGGAGAAAACTGGTGGGCGGCCTATGTAGCTGATTGTGATTATGAACTCTTAAATTGCCTTGATTAGTTTAACATTTTCATCATAATTATTGATGTATATTAGAGAGCAAAGCCTAATAACGATCGACTTGAAAACATTAACATTGTGTTCACTTCTAATCTGTGCTATTCTGATTTTCACAATGGGAGCTTAACAGTGTGTTACAAATGCTAGCGTTTCATCTTTTCAAAATTAATTCTCGATCTTTTTTTTTGCTTCTCTTTTAGAACATGCACAAAGTACATCCAGTAGTGGAGGTTCCATCGTTGGCATCAGCGGAAGCAGTAACAATAGCAGTGTTGTCGGTAGTTGTGGTGGAAATTCAGGACTAACAGCAACCAATAATACAACGAATATGTCAACATTCATTGGAAATAATAATCCATTTCTCCCGTTAATAATCAGTCCAACATTGACACGTCGTACTGCATCATTGAATAATACAAATCATTTCATGCATAAATTAACTTGTACAGATAATAATAATAATAATAATAATAATAATAATAATAGTAATAATAATAATAATAATAATGAGACATTTGGTTCGACTATTACTACTACTACTACGACTACTACTAGTAATAATGTTAATACTAATGGACCAATAGAAACTCAATCAAATCGTAGTGCATGGGCAAATGCAATTAGTCCAGAGAATGCCCAACAAATTTATGATGAATTGCCACCATCGAATTTTTTGTTAGATTCACAAACGGTTACACTGAAAGAACGATTAGGTAAGTGATTGTATTCATCTTTATCTATGTATATGCATACGTATATTGTTAGGATATTCATCCAATATCCTAAGAGAAGTAAGTATTGGCCAATTCCTATTGGTGAATTCCTCTACTGGTCAATTTTATGGTCACACATTTTTGAAACCGTGAATCGATCAGTGTTAGACTACCATTAGAAACCCGGAAGCACTGGACGGCCGTCAAGTCCTGGTATGGGACTCTTTCGGCAGTGCGCATCCACGACTCCTGCACCACGCAGGATTCAAACGCAGGACCTTCGGTGCAGGAGTCGTGGATGCGCACTGCTGAGGAGTCCCGTACCAGGCCGAAACGGCCATCCAGTGCTTCCAAGTTTCTAATGGTGGTATGACACTGATCGATTCATGGTTTGAAAAGATGTGTAACTTAACAATCTTCACAACCCCGTAATGCAAATTTTATGGTCGTCCTAGATATCAATGTTACGTGTCCCAATGTTGTTTCCTACTGGTTATTCTGACTATCAACGTCACTTCAAAAGTTGCTTCTTATTGGTCGTCTTAACTGTCAATGTCACAGACTTTGATTCCGTTTCCTATTCGACCAAAATGTATAAATACGCATTATCTGTAACATTTTATGACCACGACTAGGACCAGGACCCGGTCCTAGATTCCTAGTCCGGGATCCTGATTCTCTTCTGGATTTGAACCTCGTATTTTCTGGATGCTTGTAGAATACATGTTCTACTTCACATTCAAGTCTTCTTATTTTTATTCAATATGGGGTTGGGATAGTCGGATTTGAATAGCATGTCGTGTCGCCGGATCCTCGATCCTTGCTCTTGTTTTCCGACTAGGTAAACTCGTAATAATTCAAGTATATTAAAATGACGTGTTTACGTGCAAGCGTAACATTTATCAACTCAACCACACATCGACTTCAAGCATTTATATATTGTTGCGAGGGAGGCTGAACAATTAAATCAAGAAGGAAATATTATTCAATTGTGTGAATAATAAAAGTGACTGGTTAATTGCCGGTTCCACATTGAACTCATTAGCCTTTTATATACCCACCTGAATAGACATAACAAAACAAACGAAAACAGGCAACTTATTGAAATATTCTAAAGTTACGCGACAGATAGTTCAAATATTCATACAGACCTAGTCATATCTTTCTCGTTATTATCAGCTCAATTTGAATAATTTCATTTGTGATTAATTCAGTCCACACTAGATGGGTGTGCATTGATGGTGAGATATCTGACAAAATAAACAGTACAACTAACTAACCGGTGGAATAAATTCATGTTGACAGGATCGATCAGAATAAAATATTGTGATATTCATAATAATAATAATAATAATAATAATAATAATAATAACAATAATAATATGATAAATACCGACAAATTATGATAAAGGTTACGTAATCAAATTAGTAGAAAGTAGTATAAGATAGAGAGAGAGAGAGAGCGCGCGCGCAATGAATATTGATCATTGAATATGATTTTTCCCGCCCTTGAATATTGAATGAAAGAAAATCAGTAGGTAACTTTTTGTATATTCCTTCTTTGTTTATTTTTTTTCCTGGTAATTCATTAGTGTTTTTCGTCATTTTTCATATTAAACACTGAAAAATTGTTTAAATATTCAAATGATATAATCAAAACTATAAGATATTTCATCAATTGATGAAGTCATTGAATGCTGAACTAGATCGTGTTATTTCGTTTAGACTACTTGGTTAACATCTGGACGATTTTCGCAAGCTATTGTTAGAGACCATAATGTAAATATGACTTAGAACCAGTCATGATGGTGTAGATACGTTTTCTGTCTCCGCTTTTTAGGATTTTGAGATTTAAGATTGTTTGATAACCTTATCTTCATGATTTCACACTTCCGACTTGAGTATTGTTATCTAGACAAAATGACAAATATGAGGATTTTTTTAATTTACTCAAAATCAATCAATACTCAAATGTTAACGGCAACGAAATGGTTCTTGATAGTGTTACGCATGCACATAAACACGTCATTTGATATGCTTGAACTATTACGAGTTTACCTTAGTCAGTAAACCAGAGCGCGAGGATCGAGGATCCGGCGACTGTTGACATGCCACTCTAATCCGAGCGTCCCAAACCCCACATTGAGTAAAAGAAGAAGACTTGATTGTGAAGTAGAACATGTATTTTACAAACATCCAGAAAATACGAGGTCCGAGTCCACAAGAGAAACAGCATCCCGGACTAGGGATCTTGTTCCGGGTCCGGGTCATCAAACGTTACAGACAATGCATATTTATACTGTTAGGTTGAATAGGAAACAACATTGAGGTATGTGACATTGACAGTTAGGATGGCCATAACATTGACCAGTAAGAATCGACCAATAGAATCACACTTCCAGAAATAATTCTATTAGGATATTTGATGAATATTCTAACAGATGGTTGAAGACAATCATTTAGCGAAGAACTGTACAATAAGCTTAAAACATATAAGGCTGTTAGTTAGACTGTTTTAGCAACAAGATTATTAACTAAAGTATTCAACCTTCAATTAATTGATCTTCAGTTTGAAACTTGCTTTACTCAACCCAAATAGTATCACTAGCTTAAAACTGACTACTTCAGTTTATAGAATAGTGGAGAGTATTTACTCCACAAGCGAACAATCTTTGGAGTGTTGTGTTTTCTGAGCTAAAAGCCATTTCATTTGTTGTACAGATAGAAATAGAAACATGTTGGAAAATTCGTTTCCATGAAATATTGTTTTCTGATCGTCATCTCATTTCCATAACTGCGTTACACTAGACATATCCACAGATAATGTGTCATATTCGATTAGATTTTTAAGCAGGTTTCGTATATTTGAAAAATAATTTTGAAGTTAGATTTTGTTTTAATTAAATCTTATGTAACATTAAATTATCAATATTTATATTAATAAGGTGGAGGAAATTTCGGTCATGTAGTCAAAGGTCTATATCGTACTCCATCAGGACAAGAAGTACCGGTTGCAGTGAAAACACTGAAACCAAATCAAATTGTAAATTCTGGTGAAGTGAGTTTACCATGATTGATAATCGATAAAAAATTTGTTAAAATTGGTTTTAAAAAATATATTTTTTGAATTATTATTGCCATATCTGGATGATATACAACTATGTCTTGGGTACGAATCCTGTGGGCAGCAGGAGTCATGGATGCGCACTGCTACTGATGATGAGTCAGTCTCATAGAAGGACGGAACGGCTGTGCAATGCTTGCAGGTTTCTAATGGTGATGGTCTAACATTGATCGACTCATGAGTTCGAAAAGTGACTCAACGATCTCCACAAC